CGCATGCCTCAACAGGCTGTGAGTGTGTGAGTGAGTGACCATAAGCCGAACCTGGGAGCAGCATGTGTAACACCTTCCAGAAGAAATTTCTATCCTGGCCATGAGGTCCTCAGGGGTCAAGCTGGCTTAAGAATATTCCAATGTGGTCCTGTGTTCTTTGCATCATCATGCAGCCTACTGCAGCCCTGATCCCCTGCAAGAGAAATTGGGTTGGACTGCTTTTATACAACTCTGTGAGCAAGTGCGGTGTTGCTCAGTTTTCTCCTGCTTTTGCTGGATCAGACCAAAGTTGCTGCATGGTAACTGCCTTGCTTTCATGTGGTTGCAGGCAGAATTTGCTGTTGACTTGGTTCCCGCAGCCATGCTGGCAGCAAGGTTGGTGTGTCTTCGGGCACTCCCCTGCAGGAGTCTTCGTTCTGCCGTCACTCAGATTTCACCAACATTGAGAAATCCCTCTCTAAAGACAAAGCAATGGCTCATGCAGCCTTATCAGGTATGTGTCTCCAGAATCTCATCCTTGCATCATCATCATCATCATCATCATCATCATCATCATCATTATTATTATTATTATTATTATTATTATTATTTCCTTTTATGCACAAGTCCTCAGTGCCAGCACCTTGTGGAACTTGGCTAAACTTGAAGCAGCTGAGCAGGGTCGGTCTGGGATAGAGCTTGGAGGAGAGATCACAGGGCATCCTAAGCTGGAGGCTGGACAAAGCAAAAAGGGAAAAAAATGCTGGAAGATGCCAGCAGTGCCAGGATGTGTCCATGTGGACATTGGGAGGTGAATGTGGCCCAAGGGAGTCATTCCCTTTTTTGTATTTATTGAGTTCATTAATCACCCTTTGATATGAGCAACTATATATTTTTTTCCATTTAGAAAGGCAGGCCAGGGATCTGGCTCATAACTGGGAGCCTAACAGGATCAATTGGCCAGCGTGGACTCGAGTTCGCAGAACAAATGCAGCAGAAAGAAGAGGGGAGACATTAGTTATGGGGTTTGAGCTTAATAGAAAACCAGTTTTGGTTGGATGCCCCAGGGACTGGAACAGGTTTAAAGGGAAAAGTCATCTGTCGCTCTTGGTTTGTGAAAGAGGAGGGGTGAAACAACAGAGCAAGGCTCACTGGCGTGCCAGGAAACCCTACGTAATAGTCATGGTGGATCCAGCCAAGAGTCTCTGTAATCCAGCTAGCGATGTACAAGAGGCCCGTAATCGGAATCTGAGTGATGTGTTCCTCTCTTAGGTACACATTTTCCACAAGTTGATGTAGCTGTATCAGAACCCACAATTTTCCTCTGTCTTGGGCTTCTTTCACAGGCATCTGTGTTGACATGGAAACCATTTCCTGGGTGCAGGACCCAGTGGATGTCTGCAGAGGATTGACCTTGCAGACATCTGACTTTCAGGTTGTGACGGGAGAGGCGGGAAGTTGGCTGTAATGTAGCCATGTGAGATAATGTCAGAGGCTCAGTGCTTGTCCTTGTCAATGCCTAAAAACAGGGTTGTATGTGTTTGCAGTCAAGTTACAGAGTCTCCCAGCTGATTTCAAAGTTTAGTATTTATTCCTCCAGAATCCATCCTTTTACTCACACAGGGTTTTGGGGTTTTTTTGTTTTGGTTTGGTTTTTTTGGCAAGTGAGATCTCTCATGCATGCTGATCTTATTGACTGACCCAAGGCCACAGAACACAGGCATGCAAGCCGTGCTCCTCCACATTTCATCCCTCTTGAAAATGATCCTTGACTTGCTGTTTAGTTTTCCTCCCAGTGGTTGGGAGGCACAGCTGTCAGCTATGTTTCCTTCAGACCTCTAGAATTCACTTTTCCTTTTTTTGAATAACAGGGATATGCCTCCAGGGTTCGGACAGGGATACGCCGAGGGAAAACTGGTCAAGAAGTTAAAGAAGCAGCTTTTGAGCCATCAATGGAAACAGCCTTTAAAAGTAGGTGTGCATATGTGGGTGTGGGTCTTAGCCCTTTGCCAGAATCAGTGTGGCTATAAATCAGTAGGTTTCTGTGTTTTTCCCTCCCAATTATTGTAAGTTCTGATTGAAAGAGGTATACTATGCAAACAAAATATACAATCTGATTATAAATTAAACTCTGGAGTTGTGCAGGATTCAGAGCTGAGCCAGCAAAGGTACTTTGATTCTGGTGTGGGCGCCCTCTCTTTCCTTCTTGGCAGCACCTTAAAGGAGCACATAGGTCTTTAGGGGGGTCTGCAAAACAGGAAAATGGGTTTTGTTTCATCCAAAGCAACCCCACTTGGAACCACCTTGGTTAGAACAAAACTTGAAACAGCCAGAGATTCTGTTTCAAACTCAGAACAAAGCTCTCCCAATGAAAGGATTTGTTCTGAGCTTAGACTGTTTGAAGTAGTTTGCATTCAAATTGCTTGTCATGCCCCTGGCAAAAGAGGAGAGGGGTTTAGCGTATGGGCTCTTCCTATTCAAGGTCCTGGGGGACATGATGGGGTTTTCACACATACAAGATATATAATCTAAGCCAAGTAGTGTGTAGTTGCATGAGTTCTCTTGGACTCGTTAACTTGCTGACATCACTGTGTTTAGATCCAAGACTTGGTATTCTAGCCTCCGCACAATCATCTACTTAATCACCTAAAAAGTTGTGTATTTCTGTGTTGTACCCAGTAATTGCCCAAGATTTACAAAACTGTTCATGTGTATACACATATGTATAAATTGTCAGTAACTAGAGCACCTTTATTTTCCATTCATATTTAAGGAAGCAGTCTTAATCCTATTGTTCGTATATTACAGAGTGCTCCAGAAAATGCATTAACTTCATAATTCCTCACTGTCCTGTATCTTAACTGGACGTAACTTTACCAGGCACAAATGTGTAAACCAAAGAAATATATTGAAGCCTGCTATGTTTTAGTTTCATTATATGCTTCGAATGTGCCCTTTTCAGGAAATAGGGTTTAAATCAGTTTCTGTTCATGAAACCTTGTATCCACTTTGTGACTTGAGGATAATTGCTGCCTTCCTGTAGGTCTATGAAACATCTGGATAGGCACAAAGTGAACAGGCTTTGAAGCAAAGCCACTGTACTGTCTCTTTTTGGAGATGTTTGATTTGTGGCTGAGCATAACTCAGAATTCAGTGGCTCATATTTTAAATAATGGAGAACTCAGTGCAAAGGACCAAAAATGACTCCAGGTTTTGGGCTCTCTCTTAAAAAATATTTGGGGCTGCTTTCCTACCTGTCAAGCTGAACACAGACCCAAAGTTACAAATCCATTGTCCACTGTAGATATGGCCAAGTTTTGAGGGCTGCAAAAATACAAAATGGAGCTAATGAAGCAATCAGAAGGTAGGGGTGGCACCCATAATAGTTGGGCCACCTGCAGCCTGCAGTTCCCTGGGATCTGCATTGTAATTTTTGCTGCCTTCCAGTGGAAAAGGAAGTGTGAGAAGCTTAGTGCATCTAAAGCAAACACTTAATGCATCTAGAGTAGTAACCAAAAACAGTACATCAAACTGCAGAAAGATTGTCCTCCCTTGTCTTTGAAAGGGGGGCAGGAAGATAAACAAAAACATAAAGACGATCACTAATTGAGCTAATAGTCTTTAAGACATGGTAAGTGGCTGCTGAAGTGAATTTGGCCAAATGGATAGAAAGTTAGGCAGGCAGGCCAGAGATGTATGTCCTCAAAATTATCCTGTGAATCTTTGTTTCTCCATTCTGAGCCTCTCTGTTCCTGATGCATGTTCAGCTTTTCAGCACGTGTTCTGCCATAAAGTAGGCCCTTAGCAGAAACATTTAGGAAATTGCCTTGGTGTTACCCTTTATTAAGGAGAGAATTATTTCAAGTTAATTGCTGTTTTCTCTTTATCAGTTGACCAGGCGGGAAGATGGATAGTTGCTGGGGGTGCTGCTGTCGGTCTTGGAGCCCTCTGCTATTATGGGTTGGGGATGTCCAATGAAATCGGCGCCCTTGAAAAAGCCGTGTAAGCAATTTATTTCTAATACGAACCATGAGTGTCTCTTGGCACACCGGCCTTCTGGAAGCTCAGCAGATATGGATTGGTTTAGTGACCTAATAGCTATGTATACGTCCTGGCTAGAATTCCATAATGGAGGAAACGTGGCATATTCATCTCGCAATTAAAGTAATTACAGTAAAAATCAATTTATGGATAGTTTTGAGCACCCACTGGAGAAATTGTAGTGGAAGGTGATTTGTGATTCAGAACACAGCAATAATATATTTTTAAAGATTCACTTAAATTACTTCAGAAAAAGACTCACAAAGCTGTGTATCGATTTAATCATTATGCCAAGAACTGAGTTTGCTGAGTGGAAAGGCTTTGGCACACGCAAAAAAAAACTTAAATGGTAAAAAGAGCCCTGTTTAGCATTTTTGCTTGTTTGGGGCTTTCTTGTTTCTTTGTTTGTTTGTTTGGCTTAGGGGAATGAAAGGTACTTAATGAGTATTGAGTCATCCTCAAATAAAGGACGCCTTATTCTCATTCAGAATGGGCTTCCCTTGACTTCTGTGGCATCATCCCGTGAATGGCTAGATTTCCTTAAGAAAGAGTGAAACAAAGAAAAAGGCTGCAGAAGATACGCATTAAATATTGTTGGTCTTACTGTACAATAGAATTTCAGTCACAGGAATATTCCAAATGTTTTTTGCAGAAAGCATGGTACCTTTAAGCTTTAACTGAGTGGTTTTGTCAACTGAGAAGATAATTCAGAGTGATGAGCAGTCCTTAGCCCCAAACAGAGAGTTCAGTGGAGCTGTGCAGATCCTTTAAAAAGAGGCATGTCAGAATGCCCAGGAGCATATACAGAGTGCCCCTGTCTGCATGGCTGAAGAACCTGTGTTGTTGGCAAGGCTCAAGTAGCTATTTTGGGAGTAGCTTTGCTGGGGGGAGAATGCAAAACTGAATAGCTGCATTTACAGGCCTGTAGGGACAGCCAAGGGCAGCTTCAGAAGCATCTTCGTGGGCCTGGAGGAAAATGGGGCTGCTTTAATGGTTCAAAAAGTAATACTTCATATGCATTCCAGCGTGTTCTATTTTGAAGGATTTGCATAACCCTGGTATGCACCACTTTTCCTTGATGATTTGGGTTCTGGTATGTAGCCATAAGAAGTCCAAATGTGATCAGAGAAAGGCTTAGCTGCTTGCCGTATTCATTTTGTGAAATGCTCACTCTCTGTGTGTCTCTGTTGGTTTTCCAGTATTTGGCCACAGTATGTGAAAGACAGAATTCGTTCCACCTACATGTACTTCGCTGGAAGTGTTGGCTTGACTGCCTTGTCTGCCGTGCTAGTGAGCAGATCTCCTGCCCTGATGGGACTGATGATGAAGGGGTCCTGGCTGGTAAGGCCTTCCCTCGCTGTCATCTACCTGCCCTGCGTGGAAACACCTCTGGAGAAGTCTCCAGCCTCTCATTGACGGAGCCGACTCCCCATGAGTCCCCACGAGGCATTGGCCTGTCGTACAGCCCCTGCTCTCCTTGAACGGGATGGGGGCAAACAACAGCTGAGACGTTTTCACATGACTTCTCAAGCTGCCTTAGTAAACTCTCCACCATTTTAAGGAGGCTTAAGAAAATCCACCTGTCTTGGTTCAGACAGAGGGTCTTGGTTCAGGTTCCAGAAAATGGGGGATATTTATCCCTTCTGTGCTCAGTTTTGTTTTCCAAGGGCTGATAGTATATTTTTAGTAATTGCTATAGGTTAATTGCATAGTGTGAAAGACCCTATGAAGCTTTTGTTAATTTACCTCTCAGTTTCATGGGAACTTTCAGGGAGTGAAACAGGAGAGCAATATTAAATAAGGGGCCCACCTCCAGCATAGCACAATGCTGCAAAAGCCAAGCTATAAAATAACTCCCCATGGTCTAAATCAGTGTTTTTCAAACTTGGCCATTTTAAGATGTGTGACTTCAACTCGCAGGATTTCCCAGCCAGCATGCTGGGTAGGGAATGCTGGGAGTTGAAGTCCACACATCTTAAAGTGGCCAAGTTTGAAAAACACTGGCCTCAATGCTCTGTCTTTATGCAGTTCCTGCTCTGCTTCTCTAACTCTGCTGATGGTAGCACATTCACAGACAGAAGTCCCCCAAGGAGGTTATCTTCATTAACCTTTATGTAAAAAGAGTTATCAGAAATCTAAAACAGTGTTTTTATTTTTTCCAAAAGTTGTTTAGAATCACTTGTTTAGCTATATTCCAGCCTTGCTACTGGATGATGTTTAGGAGACAGATCAATAATGCTGGACCTTCCTTTTCTACGTTCTTGTGCCCTAATGGGAGATCCAGCGGTGTCCACAAGAGGGCACGGTAGCTAATTTAGTCCAGTGTTTCTCAACCTCAGCAACTTTAAGATGTGTTGTGCAGTAGCTTACGTATTAGATGGTGGTCCTGTGAAGTCGTGTCTTGCTATCAAACGATTTGCATGTTTTATCAGAAACTGTTAAGAGTTCTGATAGTCCTGATGCAGGAGAATACTTTTTGCCGTTTCTCCTGCCCTCTGCCCCAGAACCCTGGGCACAGTCAAAGCCTAGCTCCAGGAAATAGGGGCCCTCCACACAACGTCCAGCGTAAATGAACAAATTTATTGAGCTCACATAGTTAAAGAATGAATCAATAGGAACGTTAAGACAGATAATACAGAACACCCCTTCTGTAACTAAGGATTTAACTAATGTAGTTTGTTTAATAGGTGTGCGTGCTTTTTGGTAATGAAGCGAACAGCAAGCCCTGGGAGTCAGTCCTTTACTCAAAGTAAACAGGGTTCCCCGAACCAAAACATCGAACCCCATTTAGTTTTAGAAAGAGATTTATATACCTGGAAGCAACACATGAAAGGCTGCTCTAAACTTCTCAAAAATTCAGGGATAGCCCGTCTTCCTCCTACCCACCCCATTTTCTGTTTTTTGAAATCGTGACTCTGTGTGGAATATGATTAGCACTTAATACAGGAAGCTAATTTTAGGTCTGTCCCTCAAATTATCATGTATGGATGGGAGACATACTGGACTGGAGACACGAGAACAGAACAGGTGGGAAATGGATTGGGATCACATTTTCATACTGGGGTCCTGTTATCTGTGAAAATACCAGAAAAGAATAGTATAAGGGAAGCTTGGATTGCAAAGTACTTATCCAAATGAAACAGCTGTGCTACTTGTTAGTCTAATTAGTAATGTTTTATTTACAGGCAATCGGTGCCACCTTTGCAGCAATGATTGGAGCTGGCATGTTGGTTCGATCAATAGATTACGAACATAGCCCTATCCCAAAACACGTGGCGTGGATGCTGCATGCAGGTATTCGTTTTTCTGGATTTTTAAAAACATTGGCACCAAATACAATGCATATTGAGAAATCCCTGCTGAATGCTTTTGATTCTGCTGCTTTCTTTTCCCCCAAGAGCACTGAGATCCTTCTTCAGCTCAAAACCTTGCTTGTCATTGAGTTAGTTGGAAATATCCTCCTTAGTAGCCAAAAAATGAACAC